AAGGAAGTATTGTTGTGTGTGTATATATGAATGACTTTTGTGATACCCAGAAGCTAAAAGTTTTTGCGTAAACGTCTCACTTGTACATAATAACTTCTTGGATTGAACTGCTAAGTGGTCAGAAACTGTTGCTTTTTCTTATTGTTTTTTGTACCTCAGTTTTGATTAATAGTTCAAACTTTACACTTTCTACATAAGTACAAAGCTTTTTTGTTGATAATTTTTAGAGCGCTTTCACTATTAGGTAATATGTGATTTCCAACAACTGATAGTTGTCACCTCGTAATCAATATTGGTTTAACAGAGGGTGGTTATTGGTAGAATTGGCATTTGCCATTTTCTATTTGCAATAGATGAATAAAGAATGATCTACTGCTTTGCGAGTTTGTTCGTCGTCAGTTGCAGTTATTTCAGAATTCGTACAGAAACTACGGTTATTTTCTACGGAGTTTAGTCAGACGAAGCGGTTTTTTGGCGAAGCCCATTTCCACCAAAAGGTCTGCAGAATTGTAATAGGTAACATGAGGCGACGGATGTATCCGGTCGTGCCTCCAATACCGGATGAACCAGTAAGTGCTAGGGAGGTACAGGGAGCTCAAATGGTTCCCGATGCGACAGATGTCAGTGAAATATCCGATATGTTCGTTTTTCGTTTGTTTTGCATTAGTTAGTAGTTTTTGAAAGACTGGTTTCACGGGTTAAGAACAAGCTAGAAGTTTCTTTGTTCTGTACTTGAGAAGGTTGGCTCTTAAAGTTGTAGCTTTCTTGCCTCTTCTTTCTAAAACTGCTTTTAAAAGGTTTTTTGTAGAAAGTATATCAAAGTTTTTCTTTCTGGGAAGCTTTCGTTTCCGGAAGAGCAGAAGGAATATTCGTTTGAATATGAGGTATGTGAATCCGCAGCTTAGCTCGCAGTAGTTTTGAAACTTCTTTCTACTCTTCCTTTTGCTTATTACCATTGCCTTCACTCTTAAAATGCTACCGTATTTTATGGATCTTTAAAAGTGCATTTACTTTTTAGGATTTGGAAGATCTAGGGCTGATTGGAGAGGGTTCATATGGTAGAGTAAATAAAGTGAGGCACAAGGAATCTGGAAAGTTGATGGCAATGAAAGTACTTGTATTTTCTATAATTATATATTTTAGTCTGCTTCATTTTTTCCACCGTTACAGGTTACAGTTTTGAAGCTTTAACACAGCACAGGTCTCACTTTGTTTAGAAAGTAAGAATAATATCCAACACTGATGACTGTGAATCCAAACGTTCAATGGTACGTTTACGACGAGAAGTTGAAGGCATCAGTAAAGCTTCACAGTGTGCTCAAATTGTACGGTTCTATGGCTTGACTTTTCATGAGGTAATAAACGTTTCCGGTTATCGTACTTCTTTACGAGGACTTTACTTTCCATATACTCAGCTTTCACGGCGTTTTAGGTTTTTTCTTCTAGGGTGACTGTGTGGTTTGCATGGAACTCATGGATATCTCCTTGAAGGATTTATATGAAACTGTTCATCAAAAAATGAAAGAGGGTTTCGATGAACGTTTGTTGGGACATATAGCTGTCGCTGTAATTTCTTCACTTAACTCTACGAGATTTTTTGTTACCCCTTAATTTGATTAGTTGAATCTTCTAAACTGTAGTATTAACATAACTAGTTTTAGTGCAATCAGAAACTGCTTTTCATACGTTTGGTCTTCTCTTATTTTTAGGTTTTAAAGGCGTTGGGCCACTTGAAGCACGAAATAAAAATTATTCATCGAGGTAGTTTTTCTCAGTAAATTAAAGACAAATGATTTTTTGTGAAATGAAATTATTTTCTGCTGCAAGAAAAAAACCCTATCCATCCCTCCGCTTCAAAAAAGATTTCACAGCTGTGTGCATCATTCTTTCAGATGTTAAGCCTTCAAACATCCTATTGGGACAGAATGGTACTATAAAATTGTGTGATTTTGGAATTTCTGGTTACCTCATCAATTCCGTTGCTTTTACACGTGATGCTGGTTGTCAACCTTACATGGCAGTGCGTTTTTTTTCCTTTTGAAAAGATGAAGTTCAAATTTATGTTCTCATAAAGATATTATTTTTTGGATTATAAGATCTTACTGCCGTTTTATTCTCTCCACTCTTCCAGAAAGTCCTCATGTCAGATAACAGAGTCTGTTGGAATAACTGCTTTGCTTCCTCTCCAATCCTCTTTCATTTATAGAGCAATTTGTGTACTGTGCTTTCTGTTTGTTTGTTACCACAAGTAATGTTCTTTAAGCCGGAACGCCTCCTTCCGTCTGCATCTTATGATGTACGGTCAGATGTCTGGAGTCTTGGGATAACTCTGGTTAGTCGAGAGTTTCTGTACTTTGCTAAATTAACAGTGAAATACGTATTCTTGATTGTTTTAAAGTTTTTTTCTTTTAGAAGGAAGTGGCAGATGGGAAGTTCCCCTATCCTCATTTTAATGAGAATGAACTGTTTTTCCAGCTTCAACAAGTTGTTTACGGCGATGCACCTGTTATGGAGCCGTCAGAGAGATTTTCAGTAAAAACAGTACAGTTCATAAACTCATGGTTAGTTAAACACTTCTTTATCAGTTTTTAGGATCAAACAGCGACTTCTGCATGATATTCTTTCATGGTTTTAGCCTAATCAAAGAACTAGAAAGCCGGCCAGACTTCGACGCCTTAATGCGAACTGAGTACTTTGAGTACTATAACGGTTTGCCAGGTACTACGGAATACGTCGCTAATTACGTGAAAAGAGTGCTCGTTCATGCAAAGGAAAATAATAACTAACACTCCGCATTTCAGAAACTAGCCGCCGTAATTGTGCCATTTTAAAGAACTGCTTTTCTTCCTGTACTTTTTGTTATATAGATTAAAGACTATTAAAAAAATATTGATTTACTTCAAAATTCTTTTACTGTATGAACAAGGTTAAGTAACAGAACACAAAAAGATGACTGGAAAAAGAAATAAACACAGCCCGCAACAACAACCATCTATATTTTATGGAGTAGGTTTATTAACAGTAGCAACTGTAATATAGCACTTCTGACATTGCGTCTGAGGTAGGTGTGCATGCTAAAATTGCAAAAAAAACGTCTATTTTAGTTATCAGTTTATAAAAATACACGTCCGTAATTTCCTGAACAATGTGGTTCATTGAGCTTCGCATTTATTGTTTGACTTACTTGACTGAACTGATTGAACTGGTCAACTCTGTGGTTGCCTGTTCTAGCCTTAGCACTATCTTAGAACTGTTGTGAAAGAAGCCAAACTGACTATTCCTTCACACCTTTCACTTCACTGGCAAGACGCAACGATCCAAAGTGATGGGTATTTCCAAAAACGAGTCGACATAGCCATGTCTGTATATGTACAGAAATTCATATCCACTTTTTATAATGCACTCCAACCGCCATGACGGGTTACAGCTCCATGACTTATGTTTTTTTTTTGGTTTGACTAAGCATGGCCTGCAGTACAGAATGACCTTGGTGAAAAACGAGTCCATACTATATTATTTAAAAAGCCCTAATTTGTTCTTTTCTAACGTCAATTAGCCTCCATTTGGCCCAGTTTAGTATCCCGAATCAAAAAGGGCCTGAGAGCACTATCTCAGTGTAGCATGAGGCAAATAAGGTTGAAAGCTGTTTTCCTTAAATCTCTGAAAAGTAAAGAAATAGAGACAACAACAAAAAAAAAAAAAATCAATGAAAAAGATGGAAGTAATCTTTGATGAAAAGACATTAAGAAACAGTAAACAACTCAAGATTCAAGAAGCCATGAAAATCTGAATGTTCGTTCGGTGTACTATGGACTAACTATAAAAAATATTTTTCCCCAAATATAAGTTGTGACTAAACATAATAATATGGGGGTAACTGCCGAGCCAATTGATAGGCAAAATATAAGAAAAAAGAAATCAGTTAGGCTAGGGTCTCTAACAAAGCAAATGAACAGAGGATGATACAACTCACCATATAATATACAGAACACAAAACCTTTCATTTTTCAAGAGAAATATACAGTCACGGCAATCTTAAATAAAAGAAAGCCAAAACCTTCAAGGTGCCAAAATGTTATCTTTCATGCGGTGATTTGACAATATGCATATTTGAGAGGACTAAGGAAGAATAATATTATACTAATACAAATGCCGGAAAATGATAAACGTTGTAAAGCGTCAAAGTATTTTCAAATATAGCTGTTAAATAAATAAATAAATA